CTCTTCATGGTTTCTTGCACCAGGGCCCTGAAGGTTCTAGTTACGCCTCTGCTGTCTGCATTTCTTTCCTGCACATTATTACTTTTTGTTCAATTTTATTCTATTTAAAGGGTTCTCCAGTATTTCAAAGGTTTAGAAAGGCTGCTTGTAGATGTGAATTAACAGATAAAAGTTGAAGCAGAGGAAGATTGACAATAGGGAGTGTAGGATGAGGTTGTTGTAAGTTTATTTTAGGTGCAGATGTAGTTTGCGTTATTGTAATGTTTAACGTTATAGGATTAAAAATCCCATTTCAGCTTTGCAGATGACACCAAGCTGGGCAGTGGAATAACGTCCTTACAGGATGTCTTCAACTTACAAGCCGACCTCAATGCATTGTTTAATTGGGCAAATATGTGGCAAATGATGTTTAATGTTGATAAATGTAAGGTTATGCACTTGGGGGCTAAGAATACGCATCATACATACTAGGGGGGTACAACTGGGGGAATCAATGGTGGAGAAGGATCTGGGAGTTCTGGTAGATCACAAGCTTAATAATGGCATGCAATGCCAAGCTGCGGTTTCTAAAGCGAGCAAAATCCTCTCTTGTAAGAGGTATAGACTCCAGAGAGAGAGATATCATATTACCCCGGTGCAAATCATTAGTAAGATCTCATCTGGAATATGCAGTTCAGCTTTGGGCACCAATTCACAAAAAAGAACATTGGGGAACTGAAAAAAGTATAGAGAAGGGCAACCAAACTGATAAGAGGCATGGAGGAGCTCAGCTATGAGGAAAATTAGAGGAACTAAATGTATTCTCTCTTGAGAAAAGGAGATTAAGGGGATATGATCCACATGTATGAATACATCAGTGGTTCATATAGTGAACTTGGTGTAGAGTTATTCACCTTGAGGTCATCACAGAGGACAAGGGGAGCTTTTTCTGTCTGAGGAAAAGAAATTTAATCAAATACGGAAAGGTTTCTTCACAGTAAGAGCTGTGAAAATGTGATCTAGACTTCCTTTAAGAGTTGGTTCTGGCCAGATCAGTGGATTGCTTTAAAAAAGGCCTGGATTCTTTCTTGGATACACAGAATGTAACTGGTTACTAACATTTATAAGTAAAGTTGATCCAAGGAATATCCGATTGCCTCTTGGGGGATTAAAAAGGAATTTTTTCCCCTGCAGGAGCAAATTGGTTCATGTTTTGCTGGGTTTTTTGCCTTCCTCTGGATCAATTGTGGGTGTAGGATTATAACTTTTTTTTTGGTTGAACTGGATGGACTTTTGTCTTTTTTCAGCCAGACTAACTATGTACAGTAACTACCTTTAAATTTTTTTGTAATATGACTTTTGCATTTTTTAAAATGCATCAATGAGGGAAATCTTTATTTCACTACTGAGATAAGTTATCAGTCACAGTGGACACGCATTGTTCTCAGTGTGTCAGCTGCCTCATAATCTTGCATTGTGAGGGGGAGCAGTTAGGCACAACCATAGTGTAGAACTGAAAAACAGGAATCAGGGCTTGTGTATGTAATTAGCAAAAATTGTTGCCTCACGTACCTACTGTACATACATAATGACAAACTATACATAGAAACAAAGTTTATAAATCTGACACACAATAGGTATATTATATGCTGATCTTTCTTAAATGTATATCTAATAGTCCATGAAAAGACTACCGTATCTATTCCCTTTAACTGCATCCCATTCAGCATCTTAACTATGAGTACAAATGCAAGTATTATAATAAAAAATGCTTAAATTATTAGGTACTAACAAAAAATATGTAAATACATTTGGGTCTTAAGATGGCATCAAAATGTGCTTACAATTGCTTCAAGCTTGGTGCTGTCTGTTGAGCGATCACTCTCAAGTATATCATGTATTTAGAGTGATGTGTGGGCCCAATACGCTGTAATCGGAACATGAATGATGTACTATTTACGGCTGAACAAACAGGATGAGGTTTTAGCCAATGTGTATTTTAATGGAAATGAAGGAAAGCTATTGGAAACTCATTTTATGCCAACAAAAAGCCTATGGGAATTTGCTTCCATAATATGAATCTGTAGTCGCTAGGCACCCAAAATGTTATATACCAAAAAAAAAACCAAAAACTTGTATCCACTTATATAACTACTTCAGAAAAATAGGAAAATACAATATACAGTATGATCCAAATTAAACAGATATACATATCCTCCAAAGGGACAGTTGCAATACCACAATAGAAATAACTTATTTGTAGACACATACACTATATTGCCAAAAATATCGGGATGTCTGTCTTTACACACACATGAACTTTAAAGGCATCCTAGTCTTAGTCCATAGGGTTCAGTATTGAGTTTGCCCACCCTTTGCAGCTATAACAGCTTCAGTTCTTCTGTGAAGGCTGTCCACAAGGTTTAGGAGTGTGTCTCTAGGAATGTTTGACCATTCTTCCAGAAACGTATTTGTGAGGTCAGTCACTGATGTCAGATGAGAAGGCCTGGCTTGCAGTCTCTGCTCTAATTCGCCTCAAAGGTTGTCTGTTGGGTTGAGGTCAGGACTTTGTGCAGGCCAGTCAAGTTCTTCCTATGTGCACTGGCGTGCAGTCATGTTGGAACAGGAAGGAGCCATCCCCAAACTGTTCCCACAAAGTTGGAGCTAAGGGGCCAAGCGCAACCCCTAAAACCAACCCCACACCATAATCCCTACCAAACTTTACACTTGGCACAATGCAGTTAGGCAAGTACCATTCTTCTGGCAACCACTAAACCCAGACACATCCATCAGATTCCCAGACAGAGAAGCATGATTCATCACTCTAGAGAACATGTCTCCACTGCTCTAGAGTCCAGTGGCGTCATGCTTTACACCACTGCATCTGACGCTTTGCATTGCACTTGGTGAGGTAAGGCTTGGATGCAGCTGCTCAGCCATGGAAACCCATTCCATGAAGCTCTCTATGCACTGTTGTTGTGATAATCTGAAGGCCACATGAAGTTTGGAGGTCTTTAGCTATTGACTCTGCAGACAGTTGGTGGCTTCTGCGCACTGTGCGCTTCAGCATGCGCTGACCCTGCTCTGTTATTTTATGTGGCCTACCACCATGTGGCTGAGTTGCTTTTATTCCCAGTTGCTTCCACTTTGTTATAATATCACTATCAGTTAACCGTGGAATATTTAGTAGCTAGGAAATTTCATGGATGGACTTATTGCACAGGTGGCAACCTATCACAGTACCACACTTGAATTCACTGAGCTCCTGAGAGTGAAAGTTTTCTTTCACAAATGTTTGTAGGAGCAGTCTACATGCCTACTTGATTTTATACACCTGTGGCCATGGAAGTGATTGGAACACCTGAATCCAGTGATTTGGAGGGGAGTCCCAATACTTTTGGCAATATAGTGTATAAAAACATCTAAAAGAAGTTGAAGTGGAACATTAGGAATAAAAGATTTTAGAAGTTAGATTGGGCCAGTTTAGTTACCTTTGATATTATTCTCTGGTATAACCAAAGCTTGTTTGGCTCTACTTGTCCTGTGGATCAAAGGAGTCAGGTTTGTTCTACACTCCTTTAACCCAATTAAATTCAGGCCCAGGAAAGACCCCGACTTTAAAGTCAGGGTCCACCCAGCGATCTGCTGAAAACCTGAGCCAGCCACTTCCACTCCCTCCACAGCCTGGCACTCCAGTAAGAGCTGTAGTGGCATAGATGAGCTCAATGCTCAACAGGCTTACAACTAAGCGAGCAGCAGTCTTTGATCTCTCAGTTCTCAGTCTTAGAAGCAGCGGGGTACAGATGCAACATCCACCGATGTGAGTATGATTTTTCTTTTTTTTTAAACCTTTACTTCTCTTTTAATCTTCTGAGAGCTTCTGTGGCTTCCTATCTTGCTCACTGTTGATAGGGGGTTGCTCACTCTGTAACTTGTCCATTTAGAAAACATCTTGTACTCTTTTAATGGAAGAGTTGTACCCTTCCCTTACTGGGATACACTGTATGTATACATGTAAATTCAGTATTATTCCCTTTAATACCAATGCTACACTGTAATCAAAAAATTGTATGGGCTATTCTTGTAATCCACTGATTTCTATATTTTACTGCAAGACATCTGTATACATTTTAACTATTCCAAGTCATATGGCTGAAATACAATCTGTAATTTTTGTGACTATGTACATATCCACTGGATTATCTAATTGCAAAATAGAGTATAAATAGTGCTCATATAGTTACTGCACCTTTATAATCCAACAAGAAAGAGTTGGTAATATTACCTTCAATGCCCTTGTAATCTCAAAAATTGCATGGGACTATATTTGTAATCCACTGGCTACAATTGGTACAACAAGACTTCTACATGAATTCTACCTATTCACAGGGATTATAATGAAATGAAAATGTTTGGAGGCGGTTTAACATTTTATGGAGGAAAGAATGGTGAGTAATAAACCACATAATATGCTTGTGTTAGATCTCCTGGAATTTTTTTGACTCACAATGAGTTCATGTTTGATTGTTCCCATTTCCTTCAGATACAGGGCCCTGCCTAAGGGCATTAAGTGTGCTCCTGCATATGCTAACTCGATTCTGGGGGAGGCTGAGAAGAATCTTATTTATTCAGATTATAAATTTGCAAATAACTTTGCAAGTATTGACCTGGCATAGGTATATCGACGACCTGATACTGAAAAGGAATTGAGAGAATTTGTTTAGATTCTAAATGGAAATACTCAAAACTTTAGGGTCACAAATGCAGTAGACCATAAAAGGGTAGTCTTTCTGTATTCCACAACTCAGATCATTGAGGTGGGCAAACACAATCTAGTAGCAGCAGCGTTTTTGCCAAAAAAATGCTGACAGCTCCTAAACTCTACTAAACTCTCCTAAACCCTGCTAAACGCCAGTGCCCAGCCTTTAGCAGGGTTTTTTTTTCACTGGTTGTTAAGGAGAGGGTTGGGAAGTCAGCCCATTTCCGGCAATAAAAAAATTTGAAATAAACAGCGTAGGGGTCTCCCCCCTATCCATACTAGGCCCCTTGGGTCTGGTATGGATTTTAAGGGGAACAACATGCTAAAATAAAAAAAAATTGCCATGGAACCCCCCCAAAATCCATACCAGACTCTTATCCAAGCATGCAGCCTTGCAGGTCAGGAAAGGGGGGGAGAAAGCTCCCCCCCGAACCATACTTGGCCACATACCTTCCTGCCCCAAAGCACCTTGTCCCTAAGTTGATGAGGACAAGGGCCTCTTCCCCACAACCCTGGCTGGTGGTTGTGGGGGTCTGCGGACGGGGGGCTTATCAGAATCTGGAAGCCCCCTTTAACATGTGAATGAGTATGGGGTACATAGTGGCCCTACTCATTCACCAAAAAAGGGTAAAAATTAAATAAAAACACAAGTTCTTGACAAGTCCTTTATTAAAAAATAAAAAAAAAATATTCCCTGGTGTAAATCCATCATCAATCACAACTCCCAGAGACCCAAAAAAGAAAAAATCTCTGGTCCCGACGAAGGCTCCCGCCGTCTGGTAGCTCCACCGTCTGACAGTTCTTAAATAACCAAGGGGTGGGTCCATCCGGTGACATCACTGGAGACCCCGTCCCCTTGTAACATCAGTGACACAGGGCATGCTGGGTTGGTGATGTCATGGGGGTGGGGTCTCCGGGGACTGGGTATGGGTTGGGGGGGAACCCCACACTGTTTTTTTTCACATTTTCTTTTATTGCCGGAAAATGTTTTTTTTTTTTTTTACATTCAGCTGTCAGCGGGGTGACCCACTGACTAGTTCTTTTAATAAGGCTTAAATGGCAACAGTGAAAATACACAATTGCTTTAAATAACATGCTTGGGGATACCTTAAACCTGTACATATAGTGGTGCACTTGTTTGATGTAATAAAGTAAAAGTAAAGTGAATTTTACAAAGAGAAACTACAGTTTCAGTTGCCACTAATTGACAATTTCCAGCTGTTTTATTCTATTTGTAAACAAAGTGTTTGCGATTCCCTTCAACATTCATGCCAGAACCTTATTCTAGGTAGGTTCTAGTATGAAGTGAAAACAAAAAACCAATGTGGGGTTCCCCCTTAAAATCCATACCAGACCCCTATCTTTAATGAAGGTCTGGTATGCATTTTAAGGGGTACCCCATGTAAAAAAAAAAAAATGGAACAAAACATAGAAATTGTGTGGGCTCTCCACCAAAATCCATACTTATCTGAGCATTCAACCTGGCTAGCCAAGAAAGGAGGGGCAGCGAGCTTGCCACTGCAATACCAGGCCACATACCTCCAACATGGGGGTATACCCTGCCAGGGACGCAGTATGGCAAAGCCCCATGTTAATGGAGACAAGAACTTCTTCCCCACATCCTTGGCCCAGTGAAGGGGGGTCTGTGAATGATGGGGTGAATTTATTGGAATCTATAGGTCCCCTTTAAAATAAGGAGGCCCCCTGATATACAGTACCCCCTTACATGAACCCCTGGTTACTCATTCATAAAAAAAGATACAAAGTAAAAAAACACTCAACACATTTGCGATGCACAATGATACTCTCTCCATGGATCTCTTTGTCTGAGGTATATGTTAAGGTGACAGCATACATTACTTGGAATTTTTCTGGATTGGCAGAATGGCGGATTTTGGCTTAGCATAAAGCGCATATATGACCTACTTAATTTTAAATAGTCAACTGCAGTTGGTGAGTGAGCATTTTTTGTGGAGCACTCAGGATCGCAGCATATGTATGAAGGGTGAATTGAAGCAGTACATTATTTATTGTGGGGCATGGACACAAGTCAAGTGAAGCACCTATCATTGACTGAATTTATAGCATGTGTTGCTTAGGGAAACTCACATGCTTGGATTCACTTAAATAGTGGATTATGGACTGTATAGTTTAGATTCAGTGCCTTGAAAAAGTATTCATACCCTTTGAAATTTTCCACATTTTGTCATGTTACAACCAAAAACATAAATGTATTTTATTGGGATTTTATGTGATAGACCAACACAAAGTGGAACATAATTGTGAAGTGGAAGGAAAATGATAAATGACATGAAAAAAATTTGTGTTGCCAAACCCCCGCTGCTGTGACTGACTAATTAGGAGTCAGCTCCAGCCTGAGGAGACTGAGAAAACAGGTATCCCCATAAACACTGGGCAGCATTTGAGGCACCAGAGACTGCAGACTTTCATAGACTGGAAGGAGCTGAGCAACTGTCAGGAATTACTCAGTGGGACCCTGCCAACACAATGTGCTTATCTCTACTAAGGGAGGAGGGGGGATACATGCTTTCACAGGTCATCATTGTCAACTAACCGGAGCCAAACAACCTAACACAGATTTAACTCTACAGCTCCTGGTGAGGAAGCCGAGCAGAAGGATCACAATTAACCCCTCAATGGCTGGGCACTTTTAAGTAATGCCCGATAGTTACAAAGTAGGTGTGGCCAGTCATTGAGGGGTTAATTGTGAGCCTCCTGCTTGACTTTCTCCCTGGCAGCTGTGGAGTTAAATTTGTGTGAGGCTCTTTGCCCCCCCTCCATTAGTTGATAATGATGACCTATAAAAGCATGTGGCCCCCCCTCCTCCTCTGTTAGTAGAGTAAAGGACATAGTGTCGGCATCGTCCGCTGAGTAATTCCAGAGCTAGGCTATTTTGGGAGTGATCTGTGTGGATGGCACATGCCCCTTCTCTCATGCTCATGCATGAGACTTCTAATTAGTCTGTCAGTCACAGGAGAGGAGGTGTGGCGACACATTTTTTTTTCATGTGTCAGGTTTTTTTACCGTAGAAAAGCAGAGAAAATTTCAGATGACTGGCTGCACCTTTTTTGGCCAGACTACGAACAAATGACTTCTGCTGTTATGCTGTGTGAGGTAGATTGGTCATTTCAATTTCGATTTTTTTGGGTTTCAACCACTTTAAGCTCTGTCAGATTGAATGGAGAGCATCTGTGAACAGCAATGTTCAAGTCTTGCCACAGATTCTCAATTGAATTTAGGTCTGGACTTTGACTGGGCCATTCTAGCACATGAATATGCTTTGATCTAAACCATTCCATTGTAGCTCTGGCTGTATGTTTAGGGTCGTTGTCCTGCTGGAAGGTGAACCTCCGCCCCAGTCTCAAGTCTTTTGCAGACTCTAACAGGTTTTCTTCTAAGATTGCCCTGTATTTGGCTCCATCCATGTTCCCATCAACTCTGACCAGCTTCTTTGTCCCTGCTGAAGAAAAGCATTCCTACAACATAATGCTGCCACCACCATGTTTCACGGTGGGGATAATGTGTTCAGGGTGACGTGCAGTGTTATATTTCCGCCACACATAGCATTTTGCTTTTAGGCCAAAAAAGTTCAATTTTGGTCTCATCCAACCAGAGCACCTTCTTCCACGTTTGCTGTGCCCCCCAACATGGCTTCTTGCAAACTGTAAACAGGACTTCTTATGGCTTTCTTTCAACAATGGCTTTCTTCTTGCCACTCTTCCATAAATGCCAGGATTGTGAAGTGCATGACTAATAGTTGTCCTGTAGACAGATTCTCCCACCTGAGCTTTGCATCTCTGCAGCTCCCCCAGAGTTACCATGGGCCTTTTGGCTGCTTCTCTGATTAATGCTCTCCTTGCCCGGTCTGTCAGTTTAGGTGGATGGCCATGTCTTGGTAGGTTTGAGGTTGTGCCATACTCTCCATTTTCAGATGATGGATTGAACAGTGCTCCATGAGATGTTCAAAGCTTTGGATATTTTTTTATAACCTAACCCTGCTTTAAACCTCTTCACAACTTTATCCCTGATCTGTCTGGTGTGTTCCTTGGCTATCATGATGCTGTTTGTTCAATAACACAGGTCTGCAAAAAATTTTTTTTCGAGAGCTGTTTTGGTTATTCCACATAATCTTTATGTTTTTTGGTGCGCTGAATCCAAAAATGACCTCCATTTTGTCATAGGACATCACATTTCCTGACAATTTAAGTAACTATGGTAAATAAGGCAATACCTCAAAATAAATGGAAATAGACTTATAAAATTAAAGTTTTATTTCAATTTTTTTGAACTGAAATGAGCTCACCTACCCACACTAAACTCGATTCTTCTTCCCTGTGAGGCTCCTCTTGGTGCAATTACGCTTGTGAAAAGCATCTGGAATGTCTCTCTGAAGCATCCAACAGTAGTCTGCCATCATTGTAATGCTGCATTTTCCCTGGAATCTCCTTTCCATCTCTTTAATGTCTTGGTGGAATCGTTCACCTTGTTCCTCACTCACAGCTCCCAAATTTTCAGGAAAGTAGTCAAGGTGGGACTGGAGGAAATGCACTTTCAAACTCATCAGGCAACCTAAAGCTTGAAATGCTTTCAGCATTCGTCTGACGATCTTTTTGTAGTGAGGATCTTTGTTATTGCCTAAAAATTTCTGTACGACTTCTTTAAATGCATTCCACCCTTCTTTTTGAGGATCCGTCATGGTATTGACAAACTCTTGATCAACTATAAGCCTTCTAATGTCTGGTCCGACGAACACACCTTCCTTCAATTTTGCCTCCGACAGGCCTAGAAACTTGGTGACCAAGTATTTGAAGCATTCCCCATCTCTTGGAAGTGATTTTACGAATTGCTTCATCAATCCCAATTTTATGTGGAGAGCTGGTAGAAGAACTTTATGGGAAGGTACCAAAGTTTCTTGGAGGACATTTTTTTCACCGACTGTTAGCACCCTCAGCTGCCAACTCTTCTTGGTCCAGTGATTTTGTCGGTCTCGACTGTCCCATAGACATTGAAAACAAAGGTATTTGGTATCCCACCCACTGGATTCTTCAGGAAAGATTAACCCCTTCTACCATTAGAAGCACAGACTCAGGGCTGAGGCTTACACATACAGCATGCTGCTGAGTATCCCAGTAGTCAGACATGTCACTCAGAGCAGCACTTGTATTCACCCCCTTTGCAGGGGGGGAGGGGCAGAGATTGTTTACCTGCAAATAACAACAAAGGGCCAGAAGAGAACTAGGAAAATGAGGAAATAGATTTTTTTCCCTAAAACTTGCTTAACTTATGTATATATTGCTGACCATCAGATTTATAGTGCTATATTTTTTTTTACATAACTCAGACAACCCCTTTAAGGTTTTTTTTTGGCATTTTATATCTTAAATGCACTTATGTGAATTAATTAATAGTAATTTGGACTTTAAATTTGGTTAAAAATACATAATATAAAATAAATACCAAAAATTAAAAACATTTGATAAATTTGAAGACAGTTTAGCATTTTGTGGCAAGTCATGACGTCTAGGAGTTTTTTCAATATTCTATTTGTTTTCAGCACACCAAAATACATGGAAATTAGATGAAAATAATCAAACAGCTTTTTAGTCGCAGACCTGTGTAATATTCTCTAACAACTTTGAGGGCTTCACAGAACAGCTGTATGTATACTGAGATTAAATTATACACAGGTAGACTCTATTTACTAATTAGGTGACTTCTGAAGGCAATTGGTTCCACTAGATTTTAGTTAACGATATCAGAGTAAAGGGGGCTGAATACAAAATGCACGGCACACTTTTCATATATTTATTTGGAAAATATTTTCCTTCCACTTCACAATTTGTGCTACTTTGTGTTGGTCTATCACAGTGGTCTCCAAACTGTGGCCCGAGGGCCAGATGTGGCCCTTTGATTGGACTTATTCCTCCATCAACAATGGGGCATAATTCCTGCCACCGACACGAATGATGGGGCACTATTTCTCCCACTAATATTTATGATGAGGCACTATTCCTCCCACTGATATTAATAATGCAACAGTTTGCCGCCCACTGAAACCAACAATGGGGCAGTATTCCTCCCACTGCCCCCAACAATGAGGCACTAGGTCTTCAACTGATACCAATGATGGGGCATTACTCCTCCTCCTACAGACCACCAACCCTAAGGTAATGTTTATTCTCATTGATGCTGGGTCAGGGACATTTTCTACCCCCGCTGGCCACAATCCAGGCCCCTGAAAGTCTGAAGGACAGTAAACTGGCCCTTTGTTTGAAAAGTTTGGAGACCTCTGGTCTTTCAGATAAAATCTCAATAAAATAACATTTAAGTTTTTTGTTGTAACATTACAAAATGTGGAAAATTTTAACAGGGTTATGAATACTTTTTCAAGGCACTGTATATTATATTGGATCAAAGCATATGCACTTTAGGAAATATATAATTTGTATGTGTATATAATATAATTTCCTCATAAAGTAGTAGCATAGTTTTTTTCAAAAGTTTGTTGTTGCTTTTTTTACTTTTCTTTAAACATTTAGTTCACCCATTTGGTAGACCGCAGTCCAGTAAAATTCAGTGCTTTTAGATATTTTTTGTGTGTTAAAAACAATAACGTGATTTGTATTGTGGTATTGCAGATTTCTCTTTGGAGGATATACAGTACATAGT